ATACATAGCGTTGTGCACGGGATACATGCAGGATACATAGGTAAATAAGGGATTTTTGAAATTTTTGAAATAAGTAGGGATAAATGGATATTAAGGTAAGTAAAGGAGTGTAGTTAAGTAATTTGTCCATAATATATACATTATTTTTGGTCAGAGGATATGGGAGTTAATTACACGTTCGAAGAACTTAATAAATTAGTTGTTAAATTGCTTTCATGGTTTATATATAAAAAGATAGATCACTATAATTACCTTTATTAGCTAGCTAACAGGGAATATGACATTAGTTAAGTATATATACATTGTTTCGAAGTTAAGATTTAACCTCAACCAATCGATCGTTGGATCCTATTGTCACCCACCCACACTCACATATAGATACGTATACGTCTATGGAGGCATATTCATGTATTCGAGATACTATTAAATTCATTGACTATTTGAGTTACTACATTCGGAACTTAATATTATTACATATTAGCTTTCAACAATTCCCATATAGCCTGTCAATTAGTTAACGATTGACATACTTTAATTGTATATATGATAGATATATTTTAATTGTATCTATGATAGATATAATAACACAGTTTAGATCAAAGTTATTGAGTTCAACTGAACTCATACATTACTGAGTATTTCCGCCCCTGCCTCGTCTATCTCCCGCCCATCCCAAAGTAATTTTAAAAAACAATAATAAAGGGAACAAACGATTCCCTTTTTAATATTGCTTGTACAATAATGTGAAAAGAAATATAATAAAAAGGAAAAGAGAGATAATAAGTAGTTAAGATCTTTGTAGATATATATATGCCGACTGCCGTAATATCTACACTAACTGATATTTCAGATCGAGCGCACTTCGTTTCTAACACGCAAGAATTTCACAGACCGCGGATTAATATATTTCCACTATTTTTAAAAATAGTCTAAAGTTACATATGACTGAAGTTCAATCATTTTTCTTCGATTTGTCATTTTTATTTGAAGTTCATTGTTATGAATCTTTAGGGAAGGATCGATTCACAAGGCGATATATAAATCAGCTCGTTAAAGGGAGGCTGAAACCTTAGAATTCATTAAAAGAGAACTCCGATCTCTTCAGCTCTTCAAAGGGAGACTGAAAACTTAGAGTTCAAATTCTCCTGTTTTTTGCTGAATTATAACTTACTGATTTATTCATCAAAAGCCCATTTAAATAGGAGTCTTATTACATCAATAGGAAGTCTAATTCTTATGAAAGTAGGAGACCTAAATCCTATTCCAAACTAATAACTATAACTTAACCTAATTCTTATGAAACTTTGAAACTAAAACCTATTCTAGAATAACAAATAAAGCAACGAAAAATATAATTAAATACTTAAATTAATGACTTCCATTCATGCACATATATGACTAGTAAATTCGAGCAAAAATAACAAAATTGAGGCACAAATAAACTTCAACCATATATATATATATATATATATATCTTAGCTTTGACTATATGAAATTTCAGACACAATGTATGAAACTAGGCTTATTAAGATCAACTTTAGATACCGCATACCTGAAATTATGTTGAATAGATAGACACGTAAAAGAAGATTAAAAGCAAATACAAATTAAATGACAATGTCAAAATTGAGTATGAGTGCACTTTGCCCTTGTAATACTTAATTTATCTAGACCAAGTTCTTAATGAAAGCAACTATAAATACAACAATGGTGTTGGAAATTAGCATATAACATATCATCAACGATTTTGCCTGATAAAAAAGTTGATTTAATTGGTAATGGTGACTAATGATGAGATTCTATGTCAAGTGTATAGTTAAGGGACCAAAACTGATAAGTTTTTGAATAGTTAAAGGACTAAATCCGTTAAGTGTATAGTTAAGGGACCATTTTAGATCTACTCCTATAGTTAAGAGACTATTTATGTCATTTTCTCAAAAATATATACGGGTGTAAATTAATATTTAAAAGGTTTCAATAATAAAATTGGTTATTTTCTAACTAATCATCAAACACCTAATTCTTTCAAGGGAAATTTGTCCTTTAAATCCCTTAGAAATTGATAAATTCTAATTGTAATCCTTGTGATACCTGGCTAAATCGCATTTAACGTTTAACTGGTAAAACCTTCGGAAATTTTATGAGTTATACACTAATACAACATCTGATCACTTCCGACGTGTTATGTTAAGTTTGTGTTATTACTTCATATTAAAGAGTAATATAGTTCTAAATATAATATACCCTACATAAAAGGGACCAAATTAACACATATTCCAACTTTTTTGGGAACACAAGCCTAACGATGAATCTTAGATAAAATAAATTTTATTCGAAAAAATCATTCGAAAGTCATATTACCAAAATATTCATGGGTTAACATACATGAAAAACTGAGAAAATCACCTAATTCCTGTAAAAATGACTCCTAAATGTCCAAAATATGTGCAAAAATGGTTAGGCTTCACATACTACTTCCCCAACTCCCTATGAAGGGTTCATAAAGATTTTACAAAAAAATCGTCCGGAAACCATATCATCAAACTTCTTTTAAGTCCCACAAGGACCACCCAAAAATAATGACCTCTTTCTCAAAAAAAAATAAAAATGAAATGGATAATGTGGTTTTAATCAGAGGTTCAAAAGTTCTTCCATTGCATCCCTCTCAGTTACTAATCTTTAGCTCTCCACACTTATCTTCCTAACCTTAACTTGTGCAAATTTCAAAGAAAATGATCCATGTAAAATCTATTCATTCCTCTTTAACACCTACACAACAAGCTTCTTTTAATAGAACAAGTTGTTTTAGGAGGAAAAAAACCTTCATTTCCTTATGCAAGTACTCAAGAAATTCAGATTCAGATGGTAAAGGAGATACGCGTAAACAAGAATTGCTTGCCACAATTGTTCAGCTTCAAACACAGAAAGTTCGTCTAACCGAATACTTAGATGAAAGATCTGCATATCTAACACAGTTTGCTGAAGAAGCCAATACTGAAATGGAACAGATTGGTGAAAATGCCCTCAAAGAGCTAGATGAAGCTGGTGCAAGGGTCGGTTAATGAGTTAATTTCTCGTATGGTCACTTAACTAATAGTCACATTTAACAAAGAAAGTGACTTTTCTAAGATAATAACTATTAGTTGAGTGGCCATAACTTGTTTGTTTAATACAGAGTTTGGATTTCATATCTGAATAACATATACATAGTTGTTTATTTGTTTTTTATTTTGTTTGTGGAGCAGATAATGGGGAATATAGAGAACCAAATGCAAGCTTTTGAAGAATCAGTGGGGTTGAACAAACAAGAGATAGAAGAGAATGAAAAGAAGTTAACAGAATTTGAAGGCAAAATGGAGGAGGAAAGAAATGAATGGCTTTTCTTTAAGAGCTTAAGGCAAAGACGAACCGTGGCCGTGGACAAAGCAAAAGCCAAGGAGGAGATGGAGAAGATTAAGCAACTTAGTAGAGAAAATGCTGGATCGACGACTAGAAGGACTGTTTACCTTGCATTTATAGGCCTTGTAGTAGTTGGAATTGCAGATGTTTTCATCTCTTCGTCCTCTGACTGGAGAAAAGGTGCAGTTCTTGGGATTATTTTGGTGTGTTTGCTTTCTCAAGTCATCTATGAGCAGAGTGTATTATCAGAAACAGAATTGGAGGGAAAACAGAAATCCAAAGAAAACAAAAAGTAAAACAACTAGTATTGTAGCATGAGTTATAACCTCAAATATAATTTTATTACTCAAGGCTGATATATCGATGATTAGGTCGTCTAGATCACGGATACTTTCTGGTTTTCCGAATTATTGCAGTTGTTAAAGGAAATTCAAAGACGAACAGTACATTTACTACTATTATTATCATGTTATTCACATAAAAAGTCCAATACTGTTAATTAAATTGTGTTCCCTTTACTGTTCCTCTCCTAACTACACACTTGGATAAACTTGTACTACTACAAAAAGCAGCAATAGGCATATTATAGTCAAAATTCAGTACACATGAGATCATAATATCTGGTGCACTGACTAGGTGCATTTAACATCTTTAAAATCCGTCTTTCAGGGAAAGTCTCAAGCACAGAGAAATATCAGCGAACTTGTAGCAAAGAAAGAGAATCAATGAATGTCATAAAAAACCAAGATGCACACAACAGAATAACCCATGCATGATAGTTACAGTATAACTTTTACCCAATATAGCCTGGCATGCTAATGATAATATGATATAATCACCTGAGGTGAAAGGAGATTTCTCTTACGGTTCAAAGCAGGAAGCATGGTATTGTAGAACAAATTTGCCTTCATAGTAAGTATTTAATGGCAATCCTGCACCACGAAGCAATCTTGCTCTTACTACATTGTGAATTTCAAAATCAACTGGAGAAAGCAAACTGAGGTTAATAAAGAACAAAGAGTGAATTTAGAACCTGAAAGCTTCTTACTTACAAAAGGAATCACCTAATAGCTTTAATAAGTGTATTCACCTTTACCATGCATCTATAGTTGCGGTGACTTCCTGAACCGGGCATCATTCTAGAACGAAATGGTATGTATCTATCTATCACCGAATCTCCCAGATTTGCGTAAAAACTATATCAACATATTATAGGTGACAACAGAGGGTGAGCAACACTAGTGTTCATTTCACCAAAAAATCTGTTAGCATCCGCAATTTTAAAGGCTTGGACAAAGCCATTGATAAGGCATTGTAAGTTGAGAATATCGTGTAGTTCCCTGTTTGACATCAAATCCTTCATTTTTCCTTCTCTGCATAACCTACATTAACAAGACAACTATGCCAAAGAATCCATTTCTCCTCCATCATTTCAAAATCCCAACAAAGTTAAAGACTTGTTCAGATACCCATTTTCACACAGCCCGTCAACTGCTGCAAACTCGAAAGACTCTAATCTTTCCAACCTTATTACAACAGCCATTGAGTATGCATTATAAACCACAACATCAAAGTAATAGCATTCTCAATGATTTCCTTGAATATCCTTTCAATACCATTAACATTGCCTGTTCACCCACAAGCAAATCACGGAACTACAAGCAAACAAATCCATTTTCCGCTCATGTTTTTCCATCACATCCCGAAACTCCAATTCCTCATTAAACTTGCAATACCCACATAAACCACTGCATATCTCATTATACAAACCAACAAATGCGACCCCTTGTTAATCGCTGCTAAACCATGGTCCATGGATTAAAATACTTGAAACGGGCAACATTCGGAAGAAACCTTCATCCAAACATTTCATCAAACATCTTTAGAGCGTCATTTAAATGGACACATACAACTACATATAACAGGATTCTACTCTCCCATATCCAGCCCAACAAGTCCAGGGTGGGTGCTAGCTTGGGGCTAAGGGTTCATTCAACCCTTCGACGAAAAATTACATTATTTATAAATGATTAAAATTATTGTTTATGTATATAATATGTGTTAGAATCGTGATTCCGTCATTGCTAACAACTATCTGACTGTACTAAACTTTTGGAGGTCTTTTTTTTTTGTACTTCTATAATTGTCACAATTCTTCATAATATAATAATCATTACACACGTTACTACAATACATAATATTCGTAATATTTACTTGCTAGGTATAACCCGGGTTAGAATCATTATCGAACATACAGTACATTGTACGACATCCCTATTGGCTGACTGGTGAAAAAGAGGGGCAAATCCCAAATGTTTTCAAGAAAATCTTTGCCAACCATTTCCACTAAAGAGAAGGTTTTAATGGGTATAAAAGTGAACATTATTCCATAGGATTTCGAGCCTATCCTTGTTACTACTACTTTTTTTTTCATCTTTTCTTAGTATTGACTAAGTACTATTAAGGCATGTAAAAATGTTACTTTTTGACTTTAAGGGTAAAAGCATATGTTGATCATTGACACTTTTTCTTGTTGATTTTTCTTTGATTTCCCATTAAGATGAGGAAAACACATCATACTATGTGACATATAATCATTACTTTGTCCATTTATGTTCTCTGAAAAATAAACATAGAGCTAATGTAATCAACATATTTACCTAATTCAACACTATAATATTGTGGAGTGCTAAGTGTAAGAATAAAGAGTCAGACTAATTCAAATTCACATTCGAGGGATGGAACCCTATCAAGATTTTTTCATACCCAGAGATCGAAACTGAAACCTCTATCCTCTATCCTCTATCCTCTATCCACCAAGTCCATTGGTGATATAAGGAGTTAACATGGTTTAGTGAGTGTCTATAGGAGATTTGTTGGGGACTTTAGCATCATAGCCTCACCATTGATCCAAATGATTAAGAAAGATTGTATCTTTTTATTGGGATGAAGAACAAGAGAAAAGCCTTTTAAGGCTTCCAAATAATCATATGTTCAATAGAGCCTATGAAGATAAAATGATCATCTAAGATGAAAAATAATACTTACAAGCAAAGACTTTTCAAGTGCAACATGATCAATTTATCACTTTTATACTTAACCAACAACCCATTGAAAGATACAGAGTTACAGACCCCAATCAAGCAAGTAATAATAAGGTGTAAATCTATATATAATATATATCCTCAGGACCAAAACGCGTACTTCTGAACCATGAAGACATTGTACTACATATAACGATTCAGTAAAAAAGTTTATGTATGTGCTACAGTTGGAAGGAAGAAAGATTCAGTTTTTTCTACTCAATCTATAACCAATTCTTCAGCATGTAAACAGTCTGATTATTTGGCATCTTTGCAATCCAATGCCCTCCGGTAAGTTCAGTTCTCCCAGGGAAGCTGGAGTTTCTTCCAACCTTATCTGACTGAATTACGGTAGAGCCTCTAACCAACAACTCCATGCGAAAACCTTATACAGGAACTGACTTCATTCTCACAGTTGTTACCAAGAAATGAACAACTTGCAGCATGTCTAAAGCCTTAAATCGCGTTCCTGGATTAAAAGGAAATGAAATGAGGAAACAAAATAAGGATCAGTTCCAATGAGGTAGCAACAGGAAACTGTAAAACTTTGTTTCAAAAAGAACATAGAAACTAATAAAGTCAAAAGAATTATCAGTTCATTTGATCGATCGACCACATAATTGTTTTTCTTTCTTTTTTGGGTGGATGATCCACTATGTTTTGTTTCCTTGGAAAGGACTACTCTTTATCGATAACGACTAACACATAATAATGAACTCAAGATGCAACAATCATGAAATCACTACCGTAAAGGGAAGGCTGGTATCAAGGTAATCTAGAGACCAAGTATGACACTCGTATTAGGCAGAATCACAATGATCAATGTGACACCTCCAAATAGATTGGAGTTCCATGCACCCAGAATCTCAACAAGTTAGCTGATAAATTTTGCAATTTCAGGTCATTTTTAAGACAGTCAAATCAGATTTTGCTTCTGAGTGTAGTTGATATACTCACGGAGGTGGATCCGCAGGTTTTCACATGTAGGTTTCAAGATATAATAACAAGTAGTATAGGAATATCTTCACGAGCGAAACTACCAAATCCTAGCAGTTAAATATGTAGATAAAGGATTCAAACATAAAGTTTAGAAGACAAAGATAAGACAACAATTGAAGCACACCATGAAACTAGTATCAAGTGAGATTAGAGATCCTTAACTGTCATAGTTCATACTAACCAAATATGACAGTTATGTTACCATTTTTCCTTTTTGGAACTATTGTTAAAAAGGAACATGGAATATCATATACAGTTGAATATGGATTTAAGGAGGTAAGATTAACAAACTAAACAATCAGAGAAAATGAAGTAAACGACAAGAAGTAAGATTACCAACTCCAAAACAAGCATGTCCAGATACAATAATCCTACTCAACTTAAGACATAAAGCTAATTCATTGAGAATGAAATGAGAAAGATAATCAGATTAATATCAAGAAGACTTCTTCGTCATGTCAAATATATTGGAACAAGTCCAAGAAGCATTCTTATGACAAATGCATAGTCAAAAAATACAATGACACAAGTGATTTTATAACAAATGCGACAAAATTAACAATTAAACAAAAGAAACACCAAAGACCTTAGATTTCAGTATAGGCGAAGTACGCTCCTCCCATTTGGCCTACTTTGTGCTGGTAAACTTCTCCGGCTGCCTCTCATGGGAGCAAAATGGAACCGCAAGAACCCATTATCGATATGATTAGGTGAATACCTTGCACTCCGGTTCCTCTCCAACACGAAATCGTCTTTCTTTTTACCATTGACATTAGTGTCAATGCCAAGATTCCTCACAGTTCCAAAAGATCCACCAATATTAGTTGAGTTTCTCCAACTAACACTGCTATTACTCCTAAACATATTCCTATTAAGACTCCCTTTTAAATCACCATTTGTCTCCCTCCTCATGTCTTGCCAAGATCCTGAAAATGACCTCTCCACTCCATTTGATCTACTATACCTGTCATCTTCCTCATCTTTGTTTCCATTACCTTTCCTATGTATAAAACCCCATATATTCCAGGCCCACTTCTTCGACTTTTTCGATCCCTTTCGTTCCCCATTTCCAATCCCAGAAGCAGTATCCTTAAACCCTGTCAATTCAAAAGTCTCCGAGAAATCATCCCTTAAAGAATTGGAATTGGAAATCGAATTCAAATCCCTCTCAGGCTGAACTTTAGCATTGGACACTGCCTTCATTTCATCAATCTCTGCCACTACAGCAGCTGCTGTTTTCCTAATTGAGTTAGATCTATCAAGACTCTTCCTTCGCCTCGAAGACGAATCCAAGTAATAGTCCCTTGTTTGAGCAGACCCTCCAGGCAAATCAGTTTCCTCACCAATACAATTCGCTGAAACAGGCGACTCTTCAA